GTGAGCGCTGCTGCAGTGGCCCAGGAAGAATGCAAAGTGCCTGAATGTTCCCTCTCTTCCCTCAGACCCCCCAGAGACACACGTGACCCGCCACCCCATCTCCAAGGAGGAGGTCACCCTGAGGTGCTGGGCCCTGGGCTTCTACCCTGAGGAGATCTCCCTGACCTGGCAGCGGGATGGACAGGACCTGACCCAGGACATGGAGCTGGTGGAGACCAGGCCTTCAGGGGATGGAACCTTCCAGAAGTGGGCGGCTGTGGTGGTGCTTTCTGGAGAGGAGCATAACTACACGTGCCATGTGCAGCATGAGGGGCTGCCTGAGCCCCGCACCCTGAGATGGGGTAATGGGGTGTTACGGCTTGTATCTAGGTGATCTCCAAAGCCTCATGTGCTCATAGGTGGGGTTTGTCGGAGGTGGCTGGTTATGGGTGTGTGACACTGGATGAAGGGTGTGATAACGGGATCACTGTGCTGATCAGATCAGCACTGCTCTGCCTGTGGCTGAGTAGATGAAGGACGATAAACACCCACCCAGGGTGTGAGTGAACCAACAGGTTCACTGCCTGAACCAGGCAAGAACATGAGGCTGCTGCTGCTGCTTGCCCTGCTGCGGACTGTTTCTCCTCTTCATCCCCCTGCCAGGCCTCCCTGCCTTAAAAGGTCCTGACTTTGCCCTGAAATCTCTACAAACTGTGAGCTGAAGTGAACGTTTCCCCCTTTAGCCTGTAGGTGGGGTGTTTTGTCTCAGCAGTGAGAAAGTAACTAAGACAGTGGGGGAGAGAGCACAGGCGCCCTTGTCTTGGCCGGCAGGAGTCTTTCTGGAGACCCTCAGAGGACCAGGCTGGGGAGCTGGGGTCAGGGCCCCTGTCTTAGTCACTGTCATCTCTGGGACACAACAACCGATGCTCACAAATTAAAGGAGAACGGGTTCATTACAGCGCACAAGTTTGTAGACGTTTCAGTCAAAAGTGAACTTGTTCCAGGCAGCACTGCAGGGCAGAGGGCCTGGCACAGGAGAGCTGCTCAGGGCAGGGCAGACAGGAAGCAGAGAGAGCAGTGGGTGAGCGGAGGAGGGGGAGAAACCCTACCGAGCCCCTCCCACAGGGACCTCCTCTCCCCCACACCCCAGATCCTGACGCAGGTCAGCGCTGAGCCCCACAGTGCAGGCAGCTTCCCCATCCCCACATTTGCATGAGGCATCGGGGTCCACTTAGATCTAACAGTAACATCCTGTCCCTTCCAGAGTCGCCTGCTCAGCCCCCGTTCCCCATCCTGGGGGTTGTTGCTGCTGCGATCCTCCTTGTAGCTGTGCTCGCTGGAGCTGGCGCTGCTCTCCTGATGTGGAGGAGGAAGAGAGCAGGTAGGGTGGGGGTGGCGTCTTCCTGTCTCAGCCCCAGGGAGCAGTGCGCCCGCTGCACTGTGGGACACCCCATCCACACACACGTGCTTGCCTGGCCTGGAGCCCTGGACACTGAGCTGTTGTGAAACACAGGGACAGGAAGGACAGACTTGTCACCTGGAGGGCTGTGGAGATGGGGACCTGATTCCCAGCAGTCAGGATCAGAGGGGAAGGTCCTGCTAGGACAGAGCTCCAGGAGGGCGGTTGGCACAGGTCCTGAACAGGTCCTTTCCTCGTGCCTCCTGATCCTTCCCTGGGTCTGCATCCCAGATCTGGAAACTTCCCTGGGTCCAGGCCTGGGCAGTTCTTCAGGCTGTCAAGGCCCGGCCTCCTCCCTGGCTTCTCACAGGGCATTTGCTTCCCACAGGTGTAAAAGGAGGGGGCTACGCTCAGGCTGCAAGTAAGTATGGGGGGTTGGTTCCTGAGAGCCTGTGGTCCTGTGGTCAGTATCCATGGGGACACTGCACCCCTGTCACCCCTCCTTCCCCATGTCTGCTGTGGCCTCTGACAGTATCGTGTTATCTTTTGCATGCAGATAATGACAGTGCCCAGGGCTCTGATTCATCTCTTGAGGCTTGTAAAGGTGAGAACCCGGAGGGAGGGCCTGAAGTGAGGTGGGGGTGAGGCAGAGGGGCCGCAGCAAGGTCGCTGTCTGAATTTGAGCCTGTGTGTGGGCAGTGGCTCTTTGTCAGTGTGTATTAGCACATGTTTGCTGTACACGTCGTTTATGTTCCTCCTGGGCACCCGGTGCACATACATCACTCGTCTCTGCTTTTCCCTTCTCTGTGCCCACCGCTCCATCCCTGCCTCCATCTCTAGCTCGTGTCCTATTTGCAGAGAGCCTCTCTTTCATGGGAGCAGTGGGTTCTTCAGAATGGTGCCACACAGAGCCATGGCCCTGAATGGTTCACGACTCTTTTGTCCTGTAGCATGAGACAGCTGCTTTGTGGGTGACCAGGCAACACCTGACTTCTCTACCCTGTGCTTTGTGACCTCAAGAACACCCGAATCACCGCTCTGCAGATGGCTTCTGAGTGTGTCCAGGCTCCTGTCGGCTCGGGGAGGGTGTGCAGAGAGCAGCCCGGCCCCGGGCACCAGGACTCCCGTCCCCACGCTGACCCGTGGTCCCTTCCTCATCAACTCTCCTGTTCCAGCAGTTATGGGCTGGGGTGGCTCCAGCAATGTCATGGTGCCCTGAGCTGCAGCTTCGTCCGCGCTGTCGTGAGAACTGTCCCACACCCTGGCCGGTGTAGCTCCGTGCTGTAGTGGGCTGCTGGTCAGCTGTCCACTGGCCCTGCCTGGACTGAAGCTGTGTGCTG